AAAGTCGGAATTCTGAGATTAAAGTCGGAATTCTGAGATTAAAGTCAGAAGTCTGAGATTAAAGTCAGAATTCTGAGAAAAAAGTCAGAATTCTGAGATTAAAGTCAGAAGTATGACTTTTTTTCCTCAGAATTCAGGAATAGATGAAAAAAAAAAGACGTGCCCACTTTTTCCCAGTGGCCCTAATCCTCTACCGTACTAGTGGTCAAAGGTCAACTAATGCAGCTTTAGTTATTAGGCTCACCTGTGAATGCAAACACAATCTAACACAGCAGTTCTGCTAACAATTCATCGTTTTCACTCTTTGCTGACATTCCTTAAAGGTTCTTATGATTTTACCTGATTATGGAAGTTTCAGGCAGCGAGGATGTGTAGGCTACATAGGCTGCCTCCCTTCCTTCCCACATCACTGCCCTCTACGACCTCAATAACCAACACAAACAGAAAGCTTCATAGCTCACGAAGGATTTATAGCGGTGTGCTGACATTGGATTGCATTTCTTTTCACAGGTTAACAAAAAGTCACGGTAAAAGTGAGGCTAAAGTAAAAACACATTTTACATGTATTATGAAAAATTTTGATCCTTTGACCTGAGTGTTGTATGGTCTATTTTATATGACATACAGCGCTGAGAGGAGCATGCTCTTTAGTTAGTTCTCTTCTTTGCCCTTAAGTCTTTCTGAGAAGAAGAGAAAAAACATGGAACAAAGCTAAATATGAAAGGCAGCCAAGCTTGGTGCAGCGAAGCGACTGTTAGCAAAAAGTGAGCTCTGTCTAACAAAGCTGTTTCTGTACTAAACACAGAAACAGGATGAACGCTTCGGTGCTGATAGGTGGTGCTTTCTTTGGACAGAGCCGGTTAGCTTTTTCCCATGTTTTCAGTGTTTATGAAAAGCTAACTTAATTGTATCATACAGAGGGTATCAAACATCTCATCTCTCTGCACTTTGACTTTTCTTTAAGTTAACAAACCTTCATGGCATTCTGAAAGGAAAGCTATATCAGTAATCAGTCAATAATCCCTTTGTGAACAGTCCCTGGAAGGGTAAACACTGTGTTAGAAGATTTTTTAATATTAAAGCATTTTATTATTCACATAATAATCAGCTAAAAGTGTTCATATTTCTGTTTGCACTCAACCAGCTGCACAACTAACTGTCTGCACCTTGCCTTAAAAGGACTTGTTTTTATTACACTATTTGATAGAAACAGGAAACCGCCACCCAAGAATAAGAAACGACCTTTTAAGAACATGACCTTTTAAGAACATAACGTTCCGAGAAGTCACACCTGCCTGTTTGACTAGATAAGAATGTTACTTCCTTTCTTGTATGCTTCATGCTGTGTATAAATAAAGGCAGAGAGCTGCTGCAGGGGTGTGAGTCTCCATTGAGCTCTCACCCGTGCACGTTGAACTGTTACAAGTGTCTGAGTGTTATTTCATTATACCTGATTGCTTGATAAAGAATATCTCTATCACACTGGCACCAACATCTGTCAGAACTGGTTAAGCATCCCACTTTCTTAAAATAATACTGATATTTTCATGTACAGCATTTACAGGAAGCTTTATAAATAGTGCGTTGGGGAAATTCATCTCTGTCCGTGTTTCATATTCACTTAAAGTACGGTAAATCATTTTTCACTGAATACTTTGACGGATGAACTTTCTGTGAGTTGAGCTTTAAAGTTGGATTTCTGGCAAGAAAACTGGCAGTTTGTAAAATTCAAGTAGTGGGAATTCTCAGCTGTATCTGATGATCTTTGACTATTGTTAATTTTAAAATGACACAGAACTCTGACATCTACCTCAAAGGTCACAATGTGGGGACAGGATACGGATGCAATCAATTAAAACGCATCGTACAGCTGAGATTTATCCAAAAAGAACCAATGTGGCAAACATGGCTTTTAGTGGAGTCACTTTTTAAATGAACTGAAATGCAAGAGGCATCTATTTCCATACTCTCTGAGTTCTACTAAATCTACACAGCTGGTCTCTGCACCTGCTCACACTTTCTCTCTATCTGCAGCAGCGTAGCTGCTCTGCAGGCAGCAGGGTCTGCTTTATTCAGTAACGAGACCAGGCGACAGCTCGTCCGGAGGGGGAACGCAGACACCTTCCTCCACCTGCTCTCTCAGTTTTCACTGTGCAGGTGACGTTAGAGAAATTTTGCCTGAACAAGTGAACAAGGTGATAAAATGAAATAAATGTCAGACATCGGGAATGTATGAGTCAGAGCAACAAACATCTTTTGAATACTGAACTGTCCTTTGGCTGTTTAGTATCCCTGAAAGTATTCACTATGAACGTAATTTAGCTTTTCATTTGACACGGTTGAAAACTCCGTGTGGCCTCTACACCTTAAATTATTTCATATTTGTTTCATATTAATATAGAAGTATGAGGGCAAAGTAGCACGGCTGTTTCAGCCTCAGTGATCTGGAAGCTGCAGGTGGTTAAAGAGATATTTAGAGTCCGTATCAGGGTCAAATTCTTACAAAGTGAACCAGCACTTTTCTTTCTCTGTGTTTCTGGTGTGAGAAGACTCAGGATGAAGCTGGATTATCTACTGTACATTACGAGTCCTAAAGGCAAAAGCTACGACTTTCATCGCTCCACTTCAGAATATGCCACAGGCTGCCGACTGTCCACCAAACTGCTTGACCTTTGACCCTGAGTAGGACCAGCCCGAGTGGACAGCTTCCTGTCAGTGAGGTCCGCATGTCGTGGAACCCGCCTTGGTGCTGTAGTGATCTTTGATGGGGTTTTCTTGACCGGAGCAGGAGTGGTGATGTGTTTCGCTGCACCGCCCGATGTGGCGGATCCTTTGCCCGCGCCTTGTTTCCCACCGCGAGTGCCGTTGGCCGCTGCTGCGGCCGTTAATGTCTCGAGGAGCTGCGAGGCTGATCCGAAGCGAACGTGTTCCTCGGTCTCGGCCGCCTCCGCGAACATAGACAGGGCTCCGGTGCGCTTAGTGCAGGAGTCGCAGCACAGCTTGTTGTAGCCTGGAATAGAGCAGTATCTCGCTAACACCTCCATTTGGCAGAAGATGGATTTGTCCCCATTACACGGCTCATCTGTAAGTCAAAGAGCACACAGTGTAAGCTCGCCGCAGTGTCAAAACTCTGCAAAGTTTAAATGGCCTTGGAAAGAGATCAAAAAAGCAGAAAGGGATGCCTCACAAAGCGCAGAGGCGTTGCTTTTAATTAGAGACTGACAGCAAAGACAGTGTGCACATTCTCACAGTACGTCCAGCAGAACGATGCTCATTTTGTTCTGCCTGGGTGGAGATGTGACCCAGTTTCTTTCACTACTGTACAAACCAATTCCAAGCGTGTTTGGTGTTGGCTCCGGTTCATCCCCCTCATGCTTTCAGGCACCAGAACTTCATTCAAGTCACACTCTGCTTCTCTAACAAATAATAAGTGCTGAGTGTTGCTTAACAAGACTCACATCTGTCCTAAAACGACTTCCAGAGACCTCAAAGACTCTTCTAAGCACATGCATGAAAATGTCTCAGGTCTAATAAGAAACATCTTTTACCTTGTTTAATATTTTGGCATTCAATTGCTGCCCTTTGACACAAAAATGCAAAATAAGTACCTTTATGTCTGCTAAAATTATAAATAAATATGCACGGCAGCACGGTAAAGATTGCTGCCGTCAGCCCTCTTTAAAGGCCAAACAAACCACAAACGCTTTGTTCATTCAAACTTCTTCTTCTTCTTTTCCTTTTTGAGGGACGATGTTCTACATAAACTCCCAGCACGCACAGATAAAATAAACACATGCATCTCGCCGACTTATGAGTGTGCTACATTATTATTATTAAGAGATTTATCTCTGCAACTTAAATACTGACTTGGCATTTATGTATGCAGCGACATTTACAAATGACTTGCACTTCCACTGACATGATCAATAAAATACGCTCGTTTAAAAATGTGTGTGCTGTCTCAGAAAGGCCACGTAGGGGCTTAGCGCGGGTTATTAAAATCAGAAGAAGTCCCAGGAAAAGGTTTGGATTTGGCAGGATTCTGTTTGGACTCCCTTTGCTGATTTTCATCACTGTTGTAAACAAACACAAAGCTTTTGGGGGTTTTGTCTCATTTTGTTTTCACTGCACGTTGTCCTAGAATAGTGACAATCTGTAAATTTCATGTTTGTGATCGCGTCCTGTCACGGCTCTACAAACAGGTCAACTCTTGACCTTTAGTAACCTGTTAAACGTCCTTCAGCAGCAGCATGTTAGCTTCTCATAGATACCAAACTGTTTCAACGACATCACTG